AAAAAAAAAAAAAAAAATAGATCTTTAGTTAATCAAATCAAATAAAAATTTTTTTTTAAAAAAATGAATCTTTATTCTGGAGTGCAAGAATGATTATTAAAAAGAATCCACTCTTTATCATATTTTTTTTAAAAACTTTAATAAAAGAATTCCTTATATTTTAATTGAAACATTTTTTTTAAGTCTTTTTTTTTAATTTTTTTAAATAAAAAAAAATTTCATGTAATTAAAATAAAAATAAAAAAATTTCATGTCGTAAATTCATACATTTTGCATTTTTTTTTCTTCAAATTAAAACCCGATTATCATTTCATCTATTGAATATTCGTATATAAATACTCTGATATTTTTTTTTTACTTAAAAAAAAAACGTATATTTATATTTTTCAAATATACAGTTTTATTCTTAAAAAAAAAAAAATTACAATATCTTTTCTACCTCCTATATCTCTAATGCCAGCAAAGTTGAGTACGATATGCTACATTCACGATTCAACCCAGAGGTCGACAAAGGAATATAGCATAAAAGAAATAACTGGAATATCCAGACTGAGTGATGAAGACCCAACCAAAATCATATATCTAAAAATTAAAGCGTTTGTTCCATTGGATAAAGAAATTGATACACAAATTGAAGAATTTGAAAATGGCCAGGTAATTTACTTGAGAGGTAAATTTATTGCCTGCAATGGATGGTATACGGTAATGTTACTTATTTTTAGTTCAAAAAACAAAAATTAAAATAAAATAAAAATTAGTATCAAATTATTAATTTTGAAAAAATTGAAATAATAGGTCAACGCTACATCAATTAAACCTATGCCAAGTCTTGATTTTGATATGATGCCAGCTGTAGGCATAAACATAATGGTGACGGGTTTGACCACTCAAACTGTTAAAAATGTAGGTGACGAATCTGTTCTTGACTTTCACGTGGAAGAAAATCTTGGAAATAGAGAACCAAAGGATTTTTGGTTAGAGATGAGACATAATTCAAATATTAATTATTTGGCCAATAAAAATAATTCTATCAATCAAACCATGAGATCTACGATGGCAATTTTATCAGGCCTACTCTATTATCAAGAATCCATCATAGATACCAGCACAACTGAAGAGTCTATACCTGGGAAACATATCTTGAAATTAGATGATATATCACTAATTTCTAGCAACAGACCTAATACATCTGCTCAATCCATTAATCTACCATAGTTGAACCAAGAGTCAACAAGTTCAAGGAACACACCTCGTACACCAAGAGGATCTACACCACGTTTAAAAGAGGTCGTGTTACACTTTCACAACTATCTTCCACCAGGAAGACTCGAAGCCAATCACTAGCATCCGCATTACAAGAAAACCCCCTTCCAACCATGACCCAAAACGAAACCTCTAGTGAAACTTAAATAATAAAATTTATTTTCTTATTCTTTTTTAAAAATATATATATATATATATTTTTAACCATATAATTGCTGAGCATAAAAAAGTCAATAATAAACAAAAAAGGTATCAGAGATTGCATAAAACTAATTTTCCTTTATTAAATATATAAAATTTTTCACATTAATTTTTAATTTATTGTATTTTTTTTTAAATAATAAATAAAATTAAAACAATACATCAAATGAAACAATTTATTTTTCTTCATTATTCTAATGATGATTTACAACATTTATGATAATCTCGTTTAAACAAATGCATTCTTACATTTCTAAAATTTATGTTTTAATATTAAAAAATAATATGCTCCGATCCCTGATTGTTGATCCCGTGATGCTATTAATTAATACACTCGAATTTGTCCCCATCAGTCCCATGTTCTGTGGTGGGTACTAAAACAAAAAAAATACTGGCTAGTTGATCTCTTAAAAATCCATGGCTATCCAATTATAACAAGAGAAAGTTAAGTAATACAGTTAGTGTAAATCAAATCATTAGATGATTTTACATTAGTTAATATATTTAAATGTACTGTATTTTATATATTAAATATACATGTTAATAAATTAATATTACTTTGTTTGTATGTATATAAACTTAATATCAATAAAGCATATATAAATCATTAAAAAAAAAAAAAAAAAAAAAAAAATAAATTAATATTACAATTACGATAATAATATACTGTGACATTATTTCAACAATCTCAATGCGATGTTTTTAAGATTTATGTAATAATATAGTGTTAACACTGTAATGATATGCCATTATTTTTACTGTTACTTAATGTAAGTATATTGTGACATATCATTATAGGAATATAAACTGGAATAATATTGGTATTTTATTGATACCATATCAGCATCATATTAACATCAGAAAAAATTTTATAGTTTCTGCAAAGCTTTATGTTAATTTCCAAGTGTGGACCAGGCTGGATTGTAAAATAGTAGGGGTCAATGCAGACCTCTAGTTCTCTATCTGAAAATGACCTCTAAGTCACTATGTGCAATGTACTTGTAAATCAAATAGAATAAAGTTAATAAACTTTGGTTTATCAAGATAAATAACTTATATGTAATAAACCAGCAAATATCTTTGGTGTAGCACCTTACATTGACCCAAAATATTTAAATCATATTAAAAAATAAAAGTCAGCTAAATACAATCAACTCATAAAAAATTTTACATTATTTATTTTTAATTTTATACATTAGAAATAATTTTATATACTTATTGGTATTTTGACAATTTATATTTATCGCCATTTTCAAAATGGTGTGTGCAACGTCGATCATCTGATTAAAAAAAATTCCCAGATTTTCACCGAATATTTTAAACCCAATATATGTTTCGCATTCTTTTCTAACTATTACCCAAGATTCCCTGCCAGAACTTGCGTTAATAGGTTTGTTTACAGCTTTTCCTTGAGTTATAAGTCAATTTATTATGTACAGTTTTGAGTTTCTTTCGTCCAAAGTTTGAGATTATTGGCGATTATAGAGTTTACCATCAATAACTAATGATTTTTTCATTTTCTCTAAAACTTTAACGTTCTTACATTTTTTTTTCTATTCACAGATACCATTTTCTCTCTTTTTATAATAATTATAATCAATTACATTAATAGTGTTAATAAATTTTGTAAGTAATTTTAAATTTTTTGCCTATTACGTTATATTGCATTATTATAAAATAATTTAGCATTTTTGGTTAATTAAAAGGTTTAGAAGGCTATATAAAGTTTTTCTGTAAATATTGGAACGTTTAGAATTTAGATTTGTTGAATTTTAACTGTGTATGCTTATTTTTATAATTTTATAACAATAGATATTTTATGCTTCAAAACAAGTTAAGAGTTAAGTTAAAAAATTAAATAAGTTATTTAACAGGTATAGTGTTGCTTAGACTAAAGTTTTATCAAGTTTAAATGGTTATTTTAAAAAATTCTAAACATTTTTATAATAATGATATTGACTCTGTATTTATTTTCTCTTTATCTTTACAGAAATTCTATATGAAAATTTGGAATTTTTATATTGTAAAATTGAAGCCTTATGAGGATTTAATTTGTAATTGTATAAAGGAGAGATTGAAATTATAAAACAAATAAAATTTTAAATAAAAATTATTTTTTTCGCGGAGCAATGATTTTTTTCACTTATTGTCACATGACCGTTATAATATTTGATTGGCCAATTTTGTTTATTTTGATCATATGACCAATAATCATAATCAGTATTCGAATTTCATGCATGATCGAGCTGCATATACCATTTTGAAAACGGCGATAATAATTGAAAAGTTATGAATAAAAAAGATTTATTTAAATTACAAACTAAGAAATTTGTAAAATATTTACTACTCTAGCTTTAGTGTTTAAATAATTCTTAAAAAAGAATACAATATTTAATATTTGGATAAAATATAAAAAAAAAGGAATTATTTAAATTACAAACTAAGAATTTTGTAAAATATTTTACTAGTACTCTAACCTTAGTGTTTAAATAAATCCAAAAAGAAGAACAATTTCTGTTGAATGTATGATATCAAATATCACTTAAAAACTACAAATCCTTTTTTGAAACACAAACTATTAGCTAGTTAATTATCATCTGTTTTAATATATAAATAATTAAATAAATAAAGTTAATTAATTTGCAAGATTAATTTTTATATATCATAGCACATACCTAATAACCCCAATCTTCAATTATACAATCATTCAAATCTTCACTTTCACTTTCAAGAATTTCATTCAACATTTTACTAGTAAAATTATGTAAGCAACTTGTATAATATGCTTTAGGATGAGATTTAGCAGCAAGATTGTTATGCCCAACTGGTGCATTTATAAATTCCATAATATTGCTTTTTAATTCTTCACTGACTTTATAAGGATGGAAAATCCAATTTTCAATAATTTTTAGTGCTTCTTTAGAAGATGGTCTTTTTAATGGATCTTCATTCCAACATTTTTTCATTAAATCTACATAACAATGTGGAGTATTTTCAATAATTTCAGGACGTTCACCTTTACAAATACTTAAACTAAGTTGAATATCATGTGCTCTATTATTAAATGGTGGTACTCCAGATGTAAGTTCCCACATAATCATAGAAAAACTATATATATCACTAGCTGGAGTATAAGATTTTCCTCTTAAAACTTCAGGAGCCATAAATGGTATAACACCATAAATATCATTTTTCAAAAACGATTTTACAAGTTGACATGATCCTAAATCACTAACATAAATTTTGTCCTTATTCTTATTATTATGATTTAAAATATTGCCATCATGAAAATCACAATGAATAATATTATGTTCATGCATATCATTAAGTCCAGAAATAATTTCGTACAACATATATAATTTTTGGTTCCAATTATTTTCAACTATTCTTGGTAAATTTTCTCTTAAATTACCTTTATTTGCATAATCCATTACTACCATATATTTCAAAGTATTTGGATCCTCTGTAAATCCATAAAAATATATAATATCATTCGAATATAAAATACTTGTATGATATTTCCACTATAAAAAATAATAATAATTATTAATAGAAATAAATCTTAATTTTAAATTAAAAATAGAAAATAATATACTATCATACTTCTTTTAAAAATTCATTTAAATTTTCATTTAAATTCTTATGGCATTTAAGAATTACTTCTTTGTCTTTATTATTCTTTAACCAAGTAGCTTTATATATAGTACCAAATCCTCCTTCATTAAAATATTCAACAGTTTTAAATTTGTTATAAGGAATCCATTTTAATCTATTTTTAAGAATAAAATCATCCATAATTGCATTTCCACTTTTTCCAAATCTATAAATTTAAATAGTTAAAAATATATTATAACTTGTATTACAATTAACTAAAATAAATTACTTACTCTAAAATTTAAATCAGAATTCAATGTAATATAGATCTTAGTTTTTGGATAAATATATAATAACCTATAATTTACAACTTACCAACTAAAGTGATAGATATTTTTTTAAATGAAAAAATTTAGTTAACAAATAAATATTATACAAACTTTATAACAATAGAAATATAAATATCTTACAAGCTATATCATAAATAATTTTTTAAATAAAGAATTCAAGTTATATATAAATAAGTACTAATAATAGAATTAAATAAATAACTTGTAACTTACAATCTATTAAATAAAGAAATTAGTTAGTTAAATTATATGTAAATAAGTAATAATAGAATTACATAAATAACTTACTCCCTATATTATTTAATAATTTTTTAAATAAAGAAATTAGTTAGTTTAAATTATAATTATATAAATAAGATAAATAAGTAATAATAGAATTAAATAAATAACTTACTTCCTATATTATTTAATAATTTTTTAATAAAGAAATTAGTTAGTTTATAATAGAATTAAACAAATAACTTATAACTTACGATCTATTAAATAAAGAAATTAGTTAGTATAAATTATATGTAAATATTAATAAGCAATAATAGAATTAAATAAATAACTTATGGCTTACCAGCTAAATAAATTACAAAATAATTTTTAAGATAAAGAAATTAGTTAGTTTAATTATATGTAAATATTATATAAATAAATAATAATAGAATTAAATAAATTAATTTATGAATTACCAACTAAAATAAATTACAAAATAATTTACAAATAAAAAAATTAGTTAGTCTAAATTATATATAGTAATAATAGAATTAATAAATAACTTATGGCTTACAATCTATTTAAATAAAGAATTTAGTTAGTTTAAATTGTAATATTATAAATAAGTAATAATAGAATTAGATAAATAACATATTATCTAA